TCCCGAACTCCATCAGGGAGTCAGGAAGCAGCTTCTGCGTTCTCCGATATGCTTCGAGCACTTGAAAAGTTTAATCATGTTGGGTTTTTTCCTTTGAGGAAAAGCAAGCCTTTTCCTTGACACATTGTAACGCCAACAAGAGTTACCATTATGAATGAAGTGGGTAATGTGCTCTGCCATCATGGTTAGACCCAAGTTGTACATCAAGCCACTAATGTGAATTAGAGTATGCAAAACAGAGCTTTCACTCCAGGCTGTGGCTAAAAAAGAAGGAATGCAAGCAAAAAATCAAACTCCGAGTTAAACAATGGTGTTATTTTAACGACAACTTTGGCCCCATCGTGCTGCAAGCACAGATGCCTCAGTGGAGGACCACAGCAAGCAGGTTCAGCATCAACTGCCTCGTGTTCCCAACCATCCACACAGGCTGCGGGCAGCCTTTAGTTCACACACAATTGCTGGGTTAAGCCACGCTCAGCCACACACTTGCAGTGCTTCCAAGCACAGCTACTGCCTTTTTTTTTTTTTTAACCCTTTCAGGGTGTGCAGCTTACTCTTACAGAGCTGGAGTCTGCAGGAGGGAGGAGAGGAAGCCATATCAGTGGGATCTGCCTTTTCCCCTCCTAATGCTCCCCTCCAAAGGCAAACAGGTAGTAACAAAGAAAATCAAACCGTAAGCCCAGCTCTCTCCATTAACGAGACACTGTGTGTATTTAGTCTACACGCTTTAAAGAGGAAGGGGGAAAAGCCCCTGTGTAAAATGTATTCAATGTCATCACGCTTACATCAGCGTGGAACAAACACCACTTCCCTAGCTTTGAAAAGGTGAGCAACCTTCAGTGTTTACGCAGCCACTGAGCTAAAGGGTATCAGGCTAATTCTGACCAGGCAGCAGCCCATGAAAGGGCTGTCCTGCTATGCACATTCATCACCCTCCAAGAAATAATCCTTTGAACAAGTCCCAAGGCTAAAAGCTGCAGTGGCTGCGGAAAACAGCAAGCAAAAATGATGGGAGTTTCTCTGCCCTTTAGCAACAGACTGATGGATTTCAGACCTGCCCCGGCCTCCGTCCTGTTAGAATAGTTAACCTCTTCCTGCCTGTCTCCCATCCTCTTATTGCAGATCTTCCATCACTCACCCCAGACGGAAACGTTTCACTTAGCCTGTGACCGGCAACTTGTCTTACAGAAGCAAGGGTCAGGCACTGCCCCTTCCCAACAGGGCAGGGAATGGAAAGGCTCAGGGACAGGAAGAGATATGATGTAACCCTCAAAATATGAGCTGTGGCAGGAAACCCTCTGTCTGAGCATATATATATATATATATATAAGCCAAGTGGTTTATGGTGATGGAAAATTTCATCCTATACTACTTATCTGCAGCATTTCCAAACTGGGAAATGGAGATATGTACATTGTCCAATAAAAATAAACTCTGCTCGAGGGCTATCATGTTGCTTTTAAAAGAGTGTGAACTCTCTGCCTGTCAGGTTTTAGGAAGCAAGGCCAGATTTGAGCAAATGTCAACTCGCACAACCCCTCTGAGCTGGAGCCCCATCAAAATGAAGTCAGATGTTGTCTTATACCTACTGGCTTTCCACGTTAAATCTTAGCAGCACTTGGCAGCCCCAGAGAACTTAGCACTAAAGGGTCTTTAAGACACTTTCTAAATGACGAATTTAAGATGGTCTATATCTGTCCCTGGCAGTGGGAACACACAGAGCTCCCTGTTCCAAGGCAAGGGAAATCTAAATGCGATGGCACACGTTTGGCAATGGGTTAACCAGGCTGCACAAAGCATGCATTTCCCCTGAACGCTTGCAACAGGAAAGCAGAACAAAACTGCTGCGCCTACCCCACTGCAGCTTACACCCTGACACATGAACGTACACTGAAGTCAGCGCTTGCTCCTGTTAATATGCTGGCTGTAAACACATCAGCTTGCAAACAGTCAGATCCATTTGGGAATCATTACCATTGTTACTGACTAGCGTGGGAAAGCAACATTGGAAGGTGCAATTGAATACGTAAGCTCTGTGCATCATCTTAAACCAGGCCTATTTTGAGTAAAGCCTGGTTTTAAAAGCAGCTCAAGGGCAAACTGAAATATCTTCCATTGGAAATCTCAGTAGGAAATTTGTAGTGGTTTAGCTCCATCAGTGCAATAGCTGAAGCCAGTGGGACTGGTGGAGAGACCTGACCACAGCATTGCTGCTTGGTAGAAAATTCCAGGCCCTTCAAATCCTGATCTCATTCCAAAGAGAAAACATCACTTGGGCAAGCTTTGGGCTACAGACTAAAGAACCCAGCAGCTTACAAAACAATGATGTTTCCTCTGGTGAATGTGAGGTATGATATGCAGAACTCCCAGGCATGTTAGAGAGGGCAAAGACTTTCAACTTGCATTCACACAAGTCTTTTGACCTCCTTGTTTTGGAGTTTATGACCCTATGAGTAACCCTGCTCATCATCTTTGACTCAAACTATGTCACGCCAGCTGCTAACGAGATAAAGCAAAGATTAAGAAGAGGAAGAAAGCTGAGAGAGG